ATTAAAATCTAAAAAGTCGAAAATTAAATTTTTGATATAATACAATATAATCAGTGATTATAATATAGTTAATAGATATGATCACAATGATAATAATTAAATATTACTATATCAAATTTTTTTTTAATAAAATAATTGCAAATATCTAAGAAATAATAGAAAAATTTAATTAATAGAAATATTTAATAAATGTTATTCGAATAAAGTTTTTTTGAACTAGAAATATTCGTATTGAATGTTTTTTATTTATGATTAGTTATTACTACTAATAATTATGTACATTATCTATATATAATTTTTAACTATTATTTTATATCTAATATTTCTAATTAGGAATAAGGATAATTAAATAATTAAAATATTACTAATGAATGAATATTAATATTATAACTATGAATGAATATTATTTGACAGCAACTTTTTCATGATATAATATAAAAAAAAATTGTCAATTTTGAGATATTTATAAAATGAATTCAAATTAATTTATATTATAAAAATTCACAATTCAAAATAAAATTCTTTTGAATTTAATAAACGAGACATGAAAAAAAAATATTTTATTAGATATTTTAAAAAACTAAAAAATTAATTAAATTAAACATAATTTCTATCTATGATAGAAAGCACAAAAATTTCATTACTAAACTGCTCATATTTTTTTTAAATGAATATGATGAAACGTTTGCACATATAATATATCTATTATTTTTAACTTAAAATTTAAATTTCAATGTTTATCCATTTTTAATTAAAATTCTGATAAAATTTGAAGATTTTTTACTGTGTTATAAATCAAATAGAAAATGAAATTAATATGTGTTTCAACTTATCGTACAATATAATTAATGAATATAAAGAGAGCTGCTTTTTTATAATGCAGATTTTATAATACAACGAAATAGATTTTGAAAAAAGAATCATATATAGTTGGATTATTCAAATTGAATTATAAGACAATTTTTTTCCATAACAAATGGTTAAGATATTAATAATCTTGTGTAAAAATTTGCATATTTCCAAATGATTTTATGGAAAAATTATTATTTTTAACAATTATTGTATAACATATAATATATAAAATTATAATATATATATATAATTTTTTTACGAAATTAATGACATGTAATNATTAATATTAGATTAATATGTAAATTCTGCCAAATAAAATTATGTTATAATTTGCTTTCTTAGTATTAAAAAAATATTGATTTCATTTTTGTTATAGTTCAATGATACAACAGACTTCTTTTTCCTAAATAAAAAAAAAGAGTTTCTCAATAATTTTTCTAAAATGATATTAATTTTTTGTTATTAAGATAATTTCTTGTCAAACTCATTAATACTTATTATTCTTTTTAGCAAAAAAATTTATTTCAAAGAAAAATTCTGAAGAATGAAAAAAAGCTAAGAAAGAAAGAAAAGTGAAAAATTAGAATGTTATTTTATTAAATATTAAATTAAATTTTATTAAATACTTGAAAAATTATTTTTAAAAAACTTAAATCTAAAAAAAATCCAAAAAAGAACATTTTGATTATTTATAAAATAATAATATTCTCATTTTTTCTCATCTTTTTTTCCTTTTTTTAAAATATCTCTTCGAAACAAATTCCTCGCTATAATTCTATAACTATAACTATAATTCTATATTCTATACATAATAAGAAAAAATAGTTTAAAATAAGTATTACTTTGTATGTATATCTTAATAACAAAAATTTAATATTATCTTCCATTTAAAATATTGGAAAATTTTCATTTTTACTATAATGATATCTTAAAAATATCTGTTAATATTTATTAATCTTAAAAAATTAATTAAAGATTTAATTATATATTATATTTTATATATTATATATTATATATTATATTTTATTATATATATATATATATGTATATGTATAAATAAATTCGATTTTTTTAATATAATGAAATCTAGTTTTTTAGATTTTGAAAAAATAATTTATTTATAACATATTATGTTGCAAATTCAATATCAAAATGAAAGACTTTTCATTTTAATTCTTGACAAATAAATTAAGAAAAAAAATGGATATTTACATTTTATTTACAAATTAATAGAAAATCTAAAAAAAAAAAAAAATAGAATTTCTATAAAAAAAGAATTTGAGTATTTATTTTCTTAATTAAATAATTATAATATTTATTTTCTTAATTAAATATAAATGTTTATATGCTAATTTCTATATTTAATAACTTATATATTTTTTGTTTTGATCTGATGAAATGTTTATAAATTAAATATAATACATATTATATATGTACTTTTTTATACATATTTTATATATATATATATATATGTATGTATTATATATAGATTTAATATAATACATATAGAATAGAATAAATTATTATTAATATAATAATATAATATATTTTATGAGAGAATAATTCATGATAACACAAAATATTTAGACATTTATTTGTATAACTTCGATTCCTATATCGAATTTATATTTATATTTATTTCTAAAATAATTATCTATGAAATGTATAATAAAAATACTTGCAATACTCATCATAAATTATGCAGATTATATGTTCCATGCAGTTTTTATTTATGTAGAAAAAAACAACAAATTCTATTCTATTTTCAATTATGAAAAAAATAAATAAAAAAAAAATTGATATATAAGTTACAAAAATATTTGATAATTATTATAATAGAACTTGATGCAAAATTTTTAAAAGTAAATATATATATATTTTACTGGAAAATCCATAATCATTGATAATAAAAAATAAAAGGGGAAAATTGAAAATTTATTTATAAAATATATACATTCTTTGCATTTAAAAAAATTTATATAATTTAACAATTAAAATAATATAATAAAATACGAGATTTCTAGTTTTTAGAATAAAAATTATGTGTTATCATTTTTTATTACTATTATCTCAATTTTATTGCAAATTATTTTGCTCAAAATGTAGATTAATTCATTTCTAAAAAATTTGTTCCATTCAAAATTTCTTGCACTGAATGACTCTCTATTATTTTGGATAACGAAAACTTTACTGTCTTTAAAATAAAGACAATTATACCGATTTTAATGACTTTGAAATATGTTGTCAAAATTATCATTCTAAACAATTTTTTTCTATATATGATATAGTTTTGCTTTAGTTTATATATTATATATATTATATAGATATTCGTAAAAAACTTTTATTAAACTTTGATTTATGATTGATAATAATAGATATATTATATTTTATTTTTTATAATAAATGTTGGGTATTTATATCATTCTATCATTCTATCATTTCAGAATAATACTTTTTCAGTACGAATGAGATGTTGACAAATATATACATACATATACATATGTCGAAAGTATTAAATTATATAATTAAAAAATTAAATCATAATATACAAGTATTTTATACAAGTATAAAAAATAACGTTTAGGATAAAGCTATCGAAGACACGGGATCGTGTACTTTAACGGCTATATTTACGTAATATTAAATATGCTTATATGCATGAGAGAAAAAGAAAGAGAAAGAGAAAGAGAGAGAGAGAGAGAGACAAAAACAGAGCCAATATTACAGAAAAAAGAAAAAAAAAGTGTATTTGAGAGTCAAAGTCAAACATAATGTAAAAAAATAAATGCAAAGCAAGTAATGCAAAGTCTTCAGTAAGTTATTACGATTTAATGTATATATTATTGTTTTAATATGTGTATATATATATATATATATATATATATATATAGGAGATTATAAAAAAATCATAAAAATAATTTTAAATAAAAAATCTATATTTTTGTAAAAATATTAATGATTTAGAATAAGAATATTATTATTAATAGAAATTAAATATACTTTTTTATATTTATTTTGAATTTAAAAAATTGTATATTTATTTATATATTTTTTCATTCACTCTTATTTATTATTTCTCTCTTTTATTTTTCATTTTTATTATCATTTAGATTAATCAATTATTTAAAAATAATTTATTTTTTATTTTTCATTTCATAAATGAAAAATAAATCCAAACTAAATAAAGATTTAAAAATTTACATACAAAAGTTGAATATATTTTTAATACATATAAATAAATAAATACCCTCTATATATCTATGTATAATATGTATAATTTATATTATTTTTAATGATTTTTTTGTTTATATTTCTATTTTTCATAATTAAAAAAAGTATGTTTAAATATTCTATATAAAAAATTAAAAAAAAATATATAAAATGAATGATATTGAATATAATATTTATTAATAATTATTTTATTAGAGATTTTTAAGTATCCAATTAAATAAATCTTAAATGTCAATTTTAATCAATAATCAATTCATTTATTTAATTAATTTATTTATCTAATAATGAATTTTTATTATTTGAGCAAGAAATCATAAATAGGAAAAACCATAATATAAATTCTGGTTATAAAAATTACTTATATTATTATAAGGATTCAAATAATTTTCATGGCAATAGTCAACAAAGTTGTAATAAATCTAACAATGAAAGTTACAAATATATTTTACTACTATTTTATTAGAAATATAATAGTAGAAATTTTTGTTTTTTTAGAGTTATTTTGTTCATCTAAAATTTGTTCAATGTTTTAAAGTTTTAATAATTTAGAAAATATTTCAAATTAATTAATATATTTTATTATATCATACATATATAAACAAAAAGTAATATACAAAAATAATGTATTCAAAAATAAATTTCTTTTTCTAAATATATATATATATACACATATATACATTATATATTATTTGTTATTAATTTTTTGTATAAATTTAAAAGTAAATATTAATAAATATTAATATTGTTAATATTGTAAGTAATAATAGAAATAAATAAAAATAATAAAATAAATTTTCAAATAAATAAAATATTTATATAATATATTTCATAAAAATAAAAAAAGTGTTTAAATGATCAATATTAGAAAATGATAACATTAAAATTTTTAATAATATTTTAAACATATCTCTACTCACATTTTTAATGTTTGTCTATCATGTCACAGTTTCACGTGGCCTTCGATTTCATAATGATCGACATGTATTATTAACTAGGAAATATTCGATTCTCCAATAGTTTCATATAATAGTTCATATAGCAATTTCATATAATCAATTATTGTTCATTAGAGATTGATCAATAATCAGCTTTTGTTTTTCATGAAATATAACAATGACAATCGTGAAATACTGAAAGACGAGAAATCGATTGATAACAAATAAAAAGATGCGACACGGAGAGAAACCGACACTCAACTGAACTCGACGAGCATATTCCATTCGAACGTTTCGAAATCTCTTGTCCACCACCTGGTTGATCGTTCTGCAAGGGGTGGGGACACAAGTTGGTTTGTATAGTGAGGATGATTGTAGCACTTAGATTGAAATTTCTCGACCTTGCTTGGAATTTGCTTCGAGGAAAGTGGGAAGGATGCAACGGTGAGAGCAGAATTGGAGGTATTTTACAATTGATGATAGATTTTATAAAGAAAATATTGCAAAGAAATAGTGGACATATTGTTATGTTATTAATTTTATTAATAACATTCTATTAAAGTTTAAATAAAACTTATTAATTTTTATAAATACAGAAATATAATATAGAAATATAATATTGGAAAAATTTATTTAAATATTATAGAAAAATTAAAATATTCATAAATTATATTACAGCACAAATTATAAAATTACAATCTTTAAATTACAAAAAATTTTTAAATGATTTTATATTTTATTTATTTATATTAATTTTATTATAACATTCGCATTTGCATTATAACATTCGAATCTATATTCACTCGATCGTTATATTTGTATAAATATAAATATAAAATTTATATTATGTATAACTAATTGTACAAGAAACTGATTATTATTTATAAAATTAATGTTATTTTTATTTTAGTTAGTAAACTTTTATATGTTAAGAGATATATTTTTAAAAGCAATAATTAGCGAATATTAGTTTATAGAATTAAAATATTTAATTATATTTTAAAAATAAAAAATTTCCTGAAGATGTACTTATCATTTAAAAAAAATATAAATTTTTTTATTAACAGTTTTATAAAGAATATAGAAGAAAAGCAATTTATACGTCTTTAATAATTTAAATTTTTTCTATGTAAATTCTATTCTCTTATATAAAATACTCTTTGTTATAACTCTTTAATAATTCCGAGTAAAAGATATATTTCAAATATTTCACATGCAGAATATTTTATAGATATTTTTTAAGGTTTTAATTTTTAATATAATTAAAAAGTAGTTAATTTAATTTTAATTAATTTTTAATATAATAAAAAGTGTATAATAAATGTAATAAGGATTATATATATATATATATATATATATATATATATATATATATATAATACATATAATATATAGATTAATAAAATAGATTTATAAATAAAATTCGAGAGCTGTTCGTGAATTTATATATAAACAACGAGAGAATATAACAATCATAAAAAATATATGAATTACTTACATTTATCAAATAATGTTCGTTGTTGTGAACTATTCGTTATATATCTTAAATTAAAATTGATTAATTATAATAATTAAAACAATAACTTAATTCGTAATTAATTTAAAATTAATGACGAATTAATTTTTTTGTATAAGTGAGATGTGTATAAATAAAAACACTAATTTTATTATATACTTTAGTAAAAATCATATTTAATATATTTCAAGATATTTTTAAAATATTCACATATCTTATTTTATATATTGCAAAACTGAAAATTTTATAAAATGAATGAAAATATTCGATGCTATAATAAATTCAATTGATGAATACTTAATTTTTATGTATGAAAAACAAAAAAAGAATAACCAGACAAGTACATTTGATATTTGAATTACTTTGTGATCTTTTATAAATTTTATAAACTTTAAATTACAATTTTTTCTAAATTAATGATTTTTTGAATAAATATTTGAATTTTTTGAATTTAATATTATTATATAGATATTAATGCATTAAAAACCATATCTTATTTAAATATAGCTTTATACGATCACTATATATATATGTAAACAAAGTTATTATATTATATCAAAGAAAACTTTTGTGAAATGTTTAAAGACTATATTTAATAATAAAATAAAAGATATTAATAATAATATAACTATCGAATAACAATATTTTTAAAATTCTTCTTTTCCTCTTTCTCTTTTTTACTCTATTCTTAATTTTTTTTTTTTATTTTATATATACAAGATATAGTTATATTTGTAGAATATTCCTTAAAAAATCAATCAAGCACAAAAATAAAATTTAGATGAAGCGAGAGATAGTGACAATTCTTTAGACAAATTACACAAGTTACACTACCATTGTCTTGCTTTATCTAATATGAATTTAAATTGTTTATAATTTTATAAGCCTCAATTTTTATGTATCAACATTTGTATTTGATTTTGATTGGTCAGAATTAATTTTTAAAAAATGTTTCACTCTATATAAGCATACAGCATCTTAAAAAAAGAATTCAAGATTTCTAAACTTTAAAGATTAATAATAAAATTTATTACGAATAACAAAAAATCATCTAATCAATATATAATTACTTGCAAAAATATTCATACATTATCTTACGAAATTTATGTATTTTGAAGAAATCTTGATTTTAATGAAGATTTTTGTGTATAAAGTTTAATAAGTTTGTTTTTGGTGAAAATTGAATAAAATGAATCTTCAAGTTTTTATTATTTTCTCATATTTTAATATAATTTAATTGAAAATATTTATAATATTTATATTAATATTTTTATAATTTTTATAATAAGAAAGCATTAGAACTTGAATTTTTTATGGTTTAATATTTTATTATATTTTTATATTATTTTTATAATATTTTATTATATTTTGTATTATTTTGTATTATTATGAAATTATATTTACTTAAATATTTTTAAATATTATTGAAACTTTAAGAATTGATTTTGTTTTTTTCAAAGTAATATTTCATTAATAAACAAATTGTTCCATATAAAAATGAAGGTTGATTCGCAATGTTTATATTAAATAGAATTCTTACTGATTTCAATATAATAATAATAATGTAATAATTTTATAATAAAAATGAATAAAAATAATTAGTTTAATTTATACAAAATATAAATAAATAAAATAAATAAATAAAGTATATATAAATATTTTTGCGCTTGACTGTATATAATAATCAATCTTGCAATTAATTATTTTGACATAAAATTAATTTTTATTATTTATAAACATTCAATGTTATGAGTGAATTTATTCATTGAATTTAAACAAAAGAATTGATTCAGAAATTTTTATTGTTAACATAAAATTATTACTAATATTAATAAATATTATTTTATAAATAGAATGAAAACCATTGGTAAGGTAAAAAAAAATGTATATTTTTTTACAAAATGTATATTTACATGAATAATAAACATATTATTAGCGAGAATAATGCTTTTTAATTTCGATATTAAATGAACATTGAAAATTTTATTTATTTATTTATTCGAAAAGATATCGAATATTTATAAATAATAAAAATCGGTTTTATTAATCGATTTTTCAATTGATTGTAAAATTATGTTGATTAGACATTTTTTTCTTTTGATGCATATAATAAAGTTTTGAATCCTTTTTTTTTAATATCTCGTACATATATAGAATTGAAAAAAGACAAAGGGGCATAAAATAAGAAAGTTTTAAAAATATTATTATTCGATATTTATTCGATAATTATTATCATCTTTATTATTATCATCTTATTATTAAATATATTTTTTAATTTTTTTTTTTTAATAAAATTATCTGTTTGCAACTTAATTCCATGTACTAATATATTAAAATAAATTTAAAAAAAAAGAAATCTTACATTTTTGTGATCATTTCCAATAATATAACAATATTTAATAATTTAATAATTTAATATATATATATATATATATATATATATAATGATATGACAACAGAAATTAAATGAAGTTTTATATTTAAAAATTATATTTAAAAATTTATATAAAAAAATTGTAAAATTTTATTTCTAAATATTAGTTTTCTTTTTATGCAAAATTTTTATATTATGTAATTTATAAGCATATGAATATCTGAATCGAAATATTCTGATTATTAGAATGAATATATATATTTCATGAAGCAAATTTTAAGATTTTGATTGGAAAGATATTTTTTTCTTTCTATTTAAAGAAAATATTGAATATATTTTGATTGCGATAATTAGAATAATATTAGATTTCTTTCATCTCAATCACAATATATAATCTTAATAATAAATTTTTCGCATGTAATAAATTATGTTAGTAGTATATTCGCATTGTATTCATAATTCAATTATATATACATGGTGTATTCAAGAAATTTCGAAACTATTTTCTTTATAATAATCCCATCTTTTAAATTTTTCTTAATACTCTATAGTTTTCTTGTTTTACATTGTTCTTTAATACTGCTTGTTAAAAATTGCTTGATTTTATAGAATCAATATGTTCATTATAATACGGAATAACGAGCGATTAATTAAATTTTGTTTTAAATGTTTTAAACATTTGCGATTGGAAGTTATAAAATGATACAAAAAACTTATGAATTGTTTGAATTATGCTATAGTTTTTATAATAGTTAAAATTTTTTTTAAATTTTTTTTTAAAGAAAGTTATTTGAAGATGATAAAACAAAAGAATGATCTTCAACAAGTTGCATTGACGTAAATATTGAATTTGTTTATCTATTGTCGAAAGATTGTTGTTTATTGATAAGAATAATAATAAGTTAAAGATGAGTATGAATGATTGAAGAATAGTATGAATGATTTTATAATATTATATACGATAAACTGACAAGAGAAAATTTTGTGTGAAATTCATTCCGCAGAGAGTGGTGCGTAATAGCGCCACAAAACTTTATTGAATTTATTAATTCCAATTCAAATTTTTTAAATAACATCTATAATAAAATGAGATTTCAATATGCTTTTATAACAAAACGTCAAAGTTCTGGAGACAAAACAATAAAATGTAAACAAATAAATGTGTTTGAACACAAAGTCGAAAATCAAAACAATGCTTATCGTTTTTTCAATTCAGTCGTTGAGCATCATGAATTTATATTAAAAAGATAAACAATGATTTATTTTATCGAATTATAATGAATAGACTTTTAAAACGAATTCGATATGTTCGATAAATACCTCCTATTTT